GTCACACGCGGGAGGCCACGTGCCGAGGCTTTTTTATATGGAAGTGAACATTTCTTACAAAAACGACGCCAGATGTCACTGTAGTCTATATTTCTGTAAAAAGGAAAATCTAGTGTATTCATCATTTTCCTACACATTTATTCACAGGTGTCTTTAACCTGGAAGTTGCTCTTTAAGCAGAAAATGGTTTTGTTTTTTATAAACAGTGCCTCCAATTCAGTTGCATTTTAAGATGCCAGAGCAAGAATGTGGTTGGATGTTTTTTATTGATTTATTTTGAGTACCCATAATGCATTTGGGGATGCCATCACTTTAATTAAATTTATGATACCAATACATCATTTACCAGTGTTATGCAATAAATACCCATGTAAATTGTTCGAATAAAGTTTTTCATTTGTGCTTTTTTAATATTCACTAATAAATATCAAATTGTTCATTGATCATTAATGTGACCAACAATGCAGCCATGGTTACCATGTTTCGAGGCGGTCCAGGCAGATGTTAGGTGGTCCTCCAATACAGGCAATCTGCTGCCTCCTCTTCCAGTCTGCTAGCTCTTCATCAGTCAGGTTCTTCTGCACATAATCCATGGCGGTCAACAAGCCTCCCATCTCTGTCACTATTTGCTACAAGGAAACAAGAAACATTCACATTAGACATGGAAATAATGACTTGTAAAATAAGTCAACATGGTCAATTTGACCTGCTAGCTTTACCTCGTTGCAAGTTATTACTTCTCAAATTCTAAAGAACAGTAGTAACAGAATAGTAGCATGTAACCCAGGTTATTTTACTGTTGAGAGATTATACATAGGTTCCCTGAACGCCTCGCTGACGAGCATGAGACAGACGCCAGTTAAGCAGCATGCTTTTCAATTGAACAATTATCTACATTTGCAAAGAGGATGTAACACTTTAAAAAATATTCTGGGTCTCACAAACCCCTCCTCAGCTGCCAATAATCCATAACATGTCACATGAAGTCAAACTGGTGGGGGACTTATTATCCTTGTCTTCTTGGTTTTCACTCACAGCTCAATCTGTTACAATGTATTTTGACTTCATATTGAACATATTAAAGCTAGACACCCACCCTCCTCAGCTGGTCCAGCGCACTCAGCATCTGCTCGAGCTGAGCCATCTTCTGTCGGGTGGCAGCTGCTTGGCTATTCCCATTCAGGTCCTGGGACAACTCTGGACAAACAGCGGACATGACAGAGTCAGAAAACAAATGCAATTCCTTAAATATACATATGAAAAACACTGAAAAGTTGCGTTTTAATAAATGTTCACCGGAGACTGAGATAAACCTTTCCAAACAAATTCATATTACTGCTCAAACTGAATAGATATTTTTAAGAACTTACCCCCTTGACTTTTCAACGTCTTGTAATTGAAGTCAAAGTCATCTTGCAAGTTCTCAAGCATTTTCATCTTCTGTTCCATATCCTGAAGGAAAACAAACGGAAGAGATATATATTTAAGACAAGACAGACTCATTTTGTCAAGTTAGATAGTGTTCAGGAATCTTTTATTTTATTTGCACCCTTTATCAGGGAGTGTGTGATGGAAACTGACCTGCACGCGCTTCCTGATGTCCTGGAGGTTGTGCTCCAGAATCTGCTGCTTCTCTGTCACTACTGTCCCAGAGGGATGTGCGGCCTGGCCCTCCTGCAAAATAACATATATCGCTTTACCACCTAAGATTCATGACCCTAAGCTTATTGATGTCATATAAGGTTAGAGCTGGGTTAGTGTAGCTTTTCTCTACCTGCACAGCAGTGGTGGCCGTCTGCAGCAGCCTCTGCTCCTCCCATAGACAGCGGGCCACGATGCGAGCGATGTCCATGGGCTTCTCCAGGTACTTGCTCTGCAGATGCTGTTTGATCCTGCGCAGGTTATGCTGGTAGAGGACATTGTTTTCCTGCAGGAAACGGCTATACTGCTGATCTATTTCTCCCAAGAGGTTGTGGAACACCAGGGTGGCGTGTGACTCCTTATTGGCAGCGTAAGCCCTTGTAAATAGAGAGGAGAGGAACATCAGGAAATGATTATTATCTAGTTTCTTTTAAGAGCTTGTAAAAGGTGAAGAGTTCACAACTGCTTCATTCAAACTTCCTTTATAAGGAAGATTACTGGGGGTCACTTTTAGGATAATACCTTCTCTGTATAATCTAAATACCCATTGGACAGGAAACACTTTTTGCAGGTTATATTACTATTTCAAGTGTTAAGGTGCACTGTGATACCTTGTATGCATGGGAGATCTGTAATGGTGTCATGAGGGAATAATAAGAAATGCTAGAGAAGAAGGTAACAATGAATGAACATAATAGCTTTCCAAAAAGGTAGCTATTATAGTTAGTGGCCCTCTGCCAGTCTGGAGGGAATGGAGGTTCAAAATAAATGAAATGCTATATTATATATAATACAATATGTGCTTTCATAACAGTTTAGTTTATTTGTTTATAGTGTTGTGGACAGTCCCCATTAGTCAACTGTCACACAAAACAGTAAATGGGGCAGCTTTAGCCAACATTGATCATTTCCAGCTGTTGTCCCCGGCCAGATGATAAACTCCCTTAAACAGAGCCCAGGAATGAAATGATTCCTCACCAGTCCTGACTCTCAATCCAGGGGGCGAGGAACTGCCGCAGCTCCATGGGGAAGCTGTCGCTGTACAGGTGGTAGAGCTGCTCCAGATACCTGGTCTCCAGCTGCTGTAACTGGTTCCACTGGGCCATCCTGACTTACACCTCCTCAAGCCTACAAAAAGAATGGGGATAACAACATTAATATAGCAGAGACCATTTGGGAGGAGACCAATACTGACATTTATTGTAAAAATAAGTTTCACTTACTAAAGAGAAATAGCTAAATGTCAAGTTTTTACTGAAAATGAAAAGAGGCCCTTGGGAGGGTTTGTATTCTCAACAGCCACTTCCTGTTCAGAGAAACACTACGCCTCCACCCAGAAATATAGATCAACTCTCTAAGCATATAGAAATATATGATCTTGGACCGGGGTTCTGCCTCAAACACGACCACACTTCCTTTGTCTATGCTTTTGAAAGATGTGAATGGAAACCAGAGAAACACCCGTTTTGATATATAGATTGGATCTAATTACATTCCTTTATATATTCTTTAAGAGAAGCACAGTATACTCTCATTAATCCTCACAGCCTGCAGAGACAACCATTATCCATCAGATCCACATTTTAGGTTCTGTTGCATTCTCATCTTAACATAAAACAGCTACACTGTCCCCCTGAGGGCTGCAGGCTGCAAACTAACAGACCCTACACCAAGTCCTCTAGAATTCACATTTAACAACTAACGGAACCCTTTCTTTAAGCCTCTTACATTCAAGAGGCTTGCAACTTTCAATACTGTTGCATTACCATCTAAATTCTGCCTAATCATTAGTGATTTGTAGAGTGTCATTGCCCAATAGTTTGCAGAATTTAGATAAAAGATCAGATGGTTAACTAAACTCTGATAACTGATGACTCAGAACAGTTCTCGACAAGAAACTACATTTTGCTTTCTGTTTCCAGGAGCTTAAGTATTGCTTCTGCTGATAGAAAGAGACAGAGTGTGGAACATACAAAAAGTTAAAACAAGTGCCTGAAATTCAATTCACATGTGTCTATGTTCCCACATCAGTGCATGGATGTACTTTATGAAGCCCTACATGAATTAGTCTGCACACTTAATGCTTTTCCCATCCACATACATACAAAAGGGGAAAGTGAATTATAAACTCCTCTTAACATACAAAATCCAATGTAATACAAGCACTAACTAGCTAAATGAATACTATACACTAAAATGCTCATCTCCCATAGGGTCAACAAAACCAGAACATTATAACCATATTATTGTCATTACATTTGTTTACACAAGAGCAGACCTTCTGGCAAATGTTCGCATAATAAGCACCAGGTAACTAATATTAGTGATGTATAAGGCTCAGTATGGTCTTTATTAAAAAAAAATGGTATTATATATTGTAAGGGGCTTTAATACGTTTTAGTGGCATCGCAGTGTACGGCTTTCTTGCGCATTTTTCCGTTTAGGGTAACCTTAAACCTAAACCTAAAAGTACATATGTTTAGTTTCACCTGAATCACGTCAGTTCCAGAAATGACTCTCGCTGACATCATATGGCGAGTTTTTTTTTTTGTTGCATCAAGAAATTGTCTAACAAACGAGACACAAGTTCCTCTTTCTCTGATATGTGAAAAAGGTGTATCTGCATGGTGTGGATGTCTGAGAATAGAACCCTGAGAGTATCACATCGATGAAGAGCTAAATCATGGGACAATAGGTTTCTCTTTTCTCATGTTCTGAATCAGGCTAGTATTTCCTGCTCTCACTGTTGGAGAACTTGGGTTGAAATAAAAAATAGTATCTCAGGATCATTAAGGCACATAAGAACACGATGTGACTTTACTGTATCATCTGTTTCCCTCATCATGCCTTTACATTTATTGCATTACGTTTCCCATGATTGCAACACCTACATAAAGTGGATGGATTGATATGGCACATTGTCTATGGGCACTCTCTGCAGGATGATCAGTGACCCAGTGTGTACAGTCCCAAAGGTGGCACACTACTGTATGATAATTAATAAGTCATGGAAAAGAAAATGCTAGAAATGTGCCAGCTGTTTGTCCAATTGTCGAAAAATGGTAATCTAATCACAGGGTACAAAAGGACAGGGACAATTCCTTTACTCATATCACTGATATTCCAGTAAGTGCTTCCTTGAGCAAACTAAGAAATCAGTAAGCATGCCAGGTTTCAATTCAATGGCTTCTATAAAAACAGGTGAAGGAGGCTGTGACTCAGAGGATAGTATGATGGACTTCAAATCAGGGGATAGCAAGTTCGAGTCCCACTGCACTCAGCATGTCGTTGTGTCCATGGGCAAGACACTTCACCCCAAATTGCTCCTGTGGGGATTGTCCACAGTACTGAATGTATGTAAGTCGCTTTGGATAAAAGCGTCTAACAAATGACGTGTAATGTAATGTAAAAGACAATAGAACTGTTATGAACGTCATTATGTAAAGTCATAGTGCATTTCACGAAGTCACCCTTAGTCTCTAAAAAACAGAATACAGTCAATAGTGTAATAGCACACTTGATACATTGTGACTCACAGCTGTAATGACTGAAACGAAAATGATCTATAGAAATGTCTGAGAGTGACATATAGTAAGTACACAACTAAGATTCTGAGAAGGGCTGATCATCCCTAAAATCTCCTTTTTGTTCATGAAAACGTTTAATCATAGTGCAAACTAAGTATCATTCATGTTGTCCTGCAGATGGTTTGGCGATGGGCGTGTCAATTGAAGGCAAACACAACAATGACCTGAATTTGACTTTGTCTAAATATGCATCCAGTTTGAGCTAATTTCAGTCCTGTTTACCAACAACTACCGTGTGTATAATTGTCTTTTTTTTTTAAAAGGCGATTCAAATCACATAAAAAACCAGAACATTTTACGAATGAAGACGAATAAAATAACATTACGACACTTCTAGTCTAAGTTGAAATATAATCAGGCCCATTAGGGGCGATCAGAAATGGGAGTAGCTGCATATAAGACGCAGTAACACTTTAATAACTTGTGTAACATGGTGGACACGGAATGGCTTCCTCATCATGAATAATTTATAACCGTCACAATGTTACAACTAGTAGAGCAGTAGCGCTATGGCTAACCGGGCTAGCAATGCATTAGTGTGGTATGCAGTAACATAACAATGAAGAAAATCGTTAAGAAACATGTACCGTTGCATGCCAAAAGCAGAAGTCACCTTTATAGTCGCTTACCTAGCTTGTTGTTACTCCTTCGGAAAGTTTCTCCGTATATCAAACGGTTACCCTTTCTACTGAAAAACACTGACAATAAAAGTCAGTGGTGAGCTTTGTATAAAATTGAACACAAAAAAGCCAGAGGACACACAGAAAAAGGTCGTTAACCGTGTAGGTTTTCTTGCCAACATGGGAAATTCTTCGACGATACAGCCCTTTTCACCGAACCCATGCAGTATTTCAAGAATGACAGCTCTAACAGCCAATACGAGACCGTTATTCTATACTAGCCAATAAGAATGCAGCTTACAAGTAGGAGAGGCGTGCCTATGTTGAGAACGTCGTGTTTACTGCTGTCGCAACTGCGCTGTTCCCGCCTGCAAACCCTCCCTGGATGGAAGGCAGAGGAAACCAGTTTGCCTATTTGCTGCGGAGGGAGGGCCAGCAATTCGACAGAACAGCTAGGCTGGAAGTCATCTGAGTTACTGGCAGTGTCGACGTCATCAAGAGTTAATAACAGTAGAGCTCTTCATTCACTATTGACCTTTTGTAATCATAATTGAATACTACTAGATCAAAACACACATATACTGTATATTAAAGTTAATAACATTTTGGGGGAAAAGATAACAGGAAGTATATATTATTTAGTAAGCTTTTATTAAAATTGAAGGGGCAAAAGGGACCTCAAAACACAAAACAAATGGCAAGCTTCTTTATTTGAGTATGAATTAGAAACAGCAAGACAGTAGTGTGTGACATTTTTTAGTTTTAAAATAACTATATGTCTATATAAGCTGTGCATGACCTACCTCACGCTCATAGCAGGATGGTTCAGTTAATTGATAACCAGTAGGTCAAAACAGGTATGGTGGCAAATTACACACCTTAACAAAAAAAGGAAGACAAAGGACAAATATTTTAAAAGTGTTTAATGTTTGCTGTGCAAAACAATGTCAATGTTTGTGTAAATAATCACTACAGACATTTAATTATATATAAAACTTTAATAATTATAATGTGATATGTGATGTCAGAGGCCTGTAATTGATTTCTTTGCTTCTTTGAAATGTGAACTTGATGCCAAGGGTATTGGGTATATTGTATCGACACACTCTTCACAATCAAACAAACACACACTTTCCTCTGTTCTTCTCACTGTTCTCTACCCTGGTCAGTGCTCAGAGAGAGCACTCTCCTTAATTGAATTCCCCAGCCCATTGATTATTTTTAATGGTTCTCCACGCTACACAGTGGGCTTCTGCATGTCTGCACCACATCAAGATCACAGAGCCTCTAGGGATGAAAATGGAAGCCATGCATTCACCTTCCCTTTGTCCGGAGCACTGTGTGCTTGCCGTACATGGTCAAAAGTGCAATGATGGAACACTGGCTTTGCCAGTTTTCTTCAGACTTTGAATATTTACAATTCAATTATTTTAGCTTCCTCTACTTATTTAAAAAACGTATTTTCTAACTTGTTGTACAAAGATGCAGGCTTTTAAATCAGTGTAGACATCACTGATACACAATATTGCACCTGGTCTCTGCAAAAATAATTTGTTGACAAGATCTTCTCTGACATTTATTGAAGTACCTTGCCATTCAGAATGGCTTTCTCCCTTCGACTGCATTTAGGATGACATTTGCATCTCCACGAGTCATTAAACTGTCATCCTGCTTTTCACGCTATCATTCTTTTCTGCCTGCAATTACCTTGATAAATGTGTTAGGGATCTGCTAGGAGGCTGTGGCTCAGTGGATAGTATCATGGACTTCGAATCAGGGGATAGCAAGTTTGAGTCCCACTGCAGTCAGCATGTCGTTGTGTCCCTGGGCAAGACACTTCACCCCAAATTGCTCCTGTGGGGATTGCCCACAGTACTGAATGTATGTAAATTGCTTTGGATAAAAGCGTCTACCAAGTGACATGTAATGTAATCTGCAAATGTACTATGATGAGCTGTGACCATGGCGACACAGTTTTTCTAATCCAGTTTGCAGAGCTATGTGGAAAGTTGGTACATGCATGCATTGTAAAGATAAAAAAGGCTACAATCTACACCTTATTGACATCAGTTTGAGTATTTCATTATAATATTTATCTGAATTAGTGACACAAAAAAAGGTATTTTGCTACATAATATAGTACAACTTAAAACTCAGCGGTGGACTACCGATTATTTTAAGGCCTTATGATCCTTTGTTACAATCTTTAAAGAAATGAAAATCAAAACACAAAAAAAGTCCAAAATGGTAAAACATTCTTTTCCTAAAATGTTTGTACACAACATGTACTTAAGCTGTTTATTCGGGTGCTATATGCTACTCTATAAATATTTGATATTGTTCTAATGTTTTAAATACAATTTATTTGAAATTACGTCTATATTTTCAGTAATTTACATAAATTGTAATTTATGTTTGATTTTTCTCTGTAGATCTACACCTTTACATGTTTTCCTGTTTGTTTCACTCTTGCACATTACATCTCTAAATCCATCGATTAAGCATAAATCCTGCCAACAACTTCCTGTTACCTACAAATGTGCATATCATACATGGCAAATATAAGGTTATACATTACATCGTCAATAGCAAAGACTATTTATACCTTTTTTATTCTTATATCCACACAAATTATCAAACCCACAACAAACAGCAATTAGCTTTAACATACACAACCATTCAGCCTGCACCATGTTTTAAAAGCTAGCCTTTTTGGTTTTTCGCTAAAGAAGAGCAAATATGAAAGTCATCCCTGTTGGGTAAAATAAAAAGAGAACAGAAATCAAAAAATATATCATAGATTGTGATCACGTCTATAAAGTCCCCACGACTAATATTGTGTCTAATGTTCCCTTCCTCATCCTTTCATTTCCTCCTTCATAGGACACAGAGTTGGGATGCTCTACTCGCTTTGGGCCTTTGGAAGGTCCGGCTCCACCCTGACCAGCTGGAAGTCCTCAGTCACCTCCAACAGAGCCTCCATCTCTGGGCTGTCTACCCTCACCAGCTGCCCATCCTCCACCTCCACGTGCACCCCCAGCCCGTTCTCCTCTCCCCCTGGCTCTCCTTCATCGTCGGCCACCTCATCCATCTCCGTGTTTGGCACCACCTCCTCCATTCCTTCTCGGAACTTCTTCACATGGAAGGTGAAGGGCGGCACGCGGTACACGGTGGTCGTGGAGCGGGCGTAGACCTTGTGTTCAGGATTGAGGGACTTCTTGGCCTTCTCTTTGGAGCTCTTCATCTTTGCCCTGCGCTCCATATTGGGGGTCATGCGGGTCCCGAGCTGGCCCATCTTCTGCCCCAGGCTGTGCTTGGTTTTCTCCATTTTGTCACGGGTTCTCTGTCTTGTTTTCTCCAGGTTCTCGCGGGTTCTCTGCCTGGTCTTCTCCAAGTTCTCCTTTGTCTTTATTTTGGTCTTCTCCATTTTCTCTTTGGAGAAGGCTTTCTTTATGTTGTCCACTTGCTGCTTGGTGGTGCGTTGGATGCGCTTGGTGCGAGACTCCTCGATAATCTCCTCAATCTCCACCTCTTCATCGGAGTTGGGATGGTCTTGAACTTCTTCTTGTCCCTCAGGTATCTGCTCAAGGCCCTCCACGGCTATGCCTTCAACCAAGGTCTCTGCGGTCTTGGATTTGGTTGTTTTAGGAGGCTTCACTTTGTCCTAAGGGAGCAAAAAAAGAAAAGATTAGAAATTCCAACTTTCAAGCCGTGGAAGCATTGTATTAAGAAATCATAATGTGTGAATTGTGTCACATTTTCTATTTGACATTTACTAGAATGTTATCAGGAATGCTGCTACGCTAATTGTATTGTATGATCATGTAAATTATGGCATTTCATTTAATATGTCATGTGATCAGTCTAAGAAAGTGGATTAAATTGCCTTTGGGCTAAAAATGAATTGGAAAATACAGGCACATGATGCTTGACAGATCCATGTGTCATTCACACATTTCACAGCTTGTAGCTAGTGTAGACTGCCATCTAGTGGTGCCAGCCATATGCCAACATTCAAGTGCTGCAGCCAGATATATTACACTTTAAATCTTTATAAAAGAACATATTACATTACATTACATTGCATTTAGCTGACGCTTTTATACATAGTCTGATGCGGTCACATGTTCACCACACGAGTAGAATAATTATAAATCTATGGGGCTTAAGAGAATCTGCAACTTCACAGTCATATTGAAACTAAAACCAAGAGGATGTTCCATCTAACCACAGGTTTATATCCTGCTATTACATTCAGAACATAATGTATCTTTAAATATAAAAACTCACACACTTCCATTGCTAATATCCAATCAAATCTAACAGTAAACAGGGGATGTGGTTATATATATATATATATATAAATAAAGAATTATCTTTAAATTATGAATAATTCTTAATCTACATTTATCGTACTATCACTATCATTTATAATTGTGCGTTTGCCTCACTGAAAAGGCAAGGTGCTAAGTACAGTTTCAGTTTAGTCATATAATATAATGTACAGCAAAGCAGTGCAGCAGGTTCACACTTGTTCAAAAATATATCTCTGTGAACCCAGAAATAGGGGACTACACCTATAGGTCCTCCATACAGCAATACAGCTCAGTTGCACTACAATATTTAGCCTAATGGTCGGTGTACACTTATACTTTACTTTACTCACAACACACAGCTTACAGAGTTACTACTGGGGACAGCTGTTCATCAATCAGGAGTGCAGAAACCATATTTACATGCTTTGTGGCAGGAAACTGTCAGTGTGTGGTACCAGATATCCACACAGGGAGAAGCAGTACAATGCTGACAATGTAAACCCCCTAACAGCGTGTCTGGGGCCCCGAGAGGGATTAGAAGACCCACCACCATATTCACTGCCTTTGTAGATACAGTAAATGGTGTTACACTGTAATGTATAAAAGTATAAAGTAAGTTACCAGGTCTTCTGACTGCAGATGCTTGTGCCATAAAATGAACAAGGGTTAGACCAGTGAGGGTTTGAAAAAGGCCCAAAAGTAGGTTTTGCGTAATTGTATATTTGCTTCTGCTGATACTGAAATACATTTTTTTTTTAAATTATGTTAGTTCACAGGGCATTTTAAGATGAAGTCTTTTTTTGGTTTTCAAAGAGAGCATGCTTCAATTAATAACTTCTTTATGTATTCTATGTTTTATGTTAAAGTAGACAATATTCAAATCGGATTTTCAGCCTCAAGCAGGAGGCAAATTTGGCCTAATTTAGTCGTGCTAAATTTGAGAGAAAAAAAGATTGTCTATTCTTTGTGGTTTTCGGCCTGCTGCCACATGCAAACTGAATCTCCCCCAGAAACACCTAAAACACATGTACAGCACTGCAGACTGACAGGGCAACACATGAGGAGGTGGCATGTAAAAGCCAGATATGGAGTGTGAAGACCAGTAGCGTGGCTTGGGGAAAAAATGAGGGGAAGCCAATAATACGTCCTTTTTTTTGGGGTGGGGGGGTGTGGTGGTCAATGTAATAACGTAACCCGATGAGTGATTACAGCGCCCGGTATCATTTTACACACATTTGTACCACACAGATGTTATCTTGACCGACAGTGGTCCGCACCGCCCACTCTCCAGCCGACTCTAGGATAGCATTCATTCACACTAAATCAGGAGACCTTTAACGTTTTACGTTCCGGAGTCAGGTGACATTGTGTATATTTAAAAAAATAAAAATATTTAGAGGGCCAGTGTGAGGTCAAAAAAAGTGGTTTGTTGCCTGAGGGCAACAGTATGCCATAGAGCAGGGGTCGGCAACAGGCGGACCGCGGTCCGGGTCCGGACCCAGACACTGACCTATGCGGACCCGGACCTAAAACGTTTTACGTTCCGGATTCGCTCCTTTGTTCCTCGCTGTACACAGCTCCAGTTTGGCATTGGCCTGTCATCAGATGTATTGTTGTTGCTGCTGCAGCTGGAAAGTTTAGTACAATCTCTCTCTCTTGCCCATTAAATACTCCAATCTGCCACCCTCCTATCATTGCCCCTTGCTTCAGTTGCTTGCTACTTTCTAACGGCGGTGAGAGTGGTGCAGTGACGCTATCTATCTTCTATCGATTAGATTTATGATTATAAAATTATAAGAGTAGGGTAGACATGTGGATATTATCCGACTGAACAAAACGTGCATTTACCTAACAGGTTCGTTTTCCACTGACCTTTTTTCGAGCTATTTTCCAAAATCCTATGGAGAAATCCCATTGCTATTTTCTCGAGGGAAACCGAGCGCAGCTTACTTCCGCTTTTTGGGACGCGTCACTGCACCACTAAATTCATGCGATTTGATTGGATTGTGAGGCAAGGGAAGCCAGCCGCCTCTGGCTTCCCTTGGCATGGCCCTGACCATTCACAGGTTGGCAGGGGCATGACGTGAGCCTCATCTGGATTGGTCAATCCCTCATTTTTTATATATACACAAAGGAAGAAGCAAAATTTCGGGCTGGCTATCACTCTCGCCAACAGAGAGCAAACTATGAATACTAAAATAACACCATAAACAATATAAGAGAGAGAGCGCAAATGTATCCTCTTTGTAAAAATAACATCAAATGAGAAAAATGGAAGAGTGAGAGCACGGACAACCCGGCAGCAAACACACAATCCCAAAGAACCATTTCCGGAAACTAAACGAACGTGTCTCCTTTACTTCCCTATTTATCTAACACTTATACACCCACCATCCGCAAAAAACAGGACAGCCCTCGGTATCCCTTGGCCTCCAGGAGAAAACGCCCTGGTGAACG